CTTAGCTAGGGTGAAAATATCTAAAAACAAATTTAAAGCAAATTATATTTGATTATTAATTGGCATAGAAACGTCGGATGGAAAATTACTTATCTCATATATTCTAATATAATTTTAGCCGGCATATTTTCACCAAAGCTATCAATCTGATTCTGGTTTGGCATTTGAAATTTATTTTCTGGAATTCCTTTGATAAAAGCACTGAGAACTTTCACAACATTTCAAATGCCAAAGAGCGTCAGAGTAAAGTTTACTCCGTGAATTTCATTTCTACTCATTTCCTGCAATGCACTTTGACCTTTACCGCGACGCGAACTCTTTACTGCACTTATTCCACTTCCTGCACGAGTGGAGACGCACACAGCGAATTTCATTTGTTGTTGACTGGCAATTGGAAATGTTTATTAAATGGCAGCCGGGATAAATGTTAAAGTTAAGTCTGCGGCTGAGGTGGGCTTTATGCAAATCCTTGCGCCACAATATCTCATACACACACACACACACGCGCACACGCACACAACTAAACTGCAAAATGCTACTAAGCCCACTTACTTACAATTTAGCAAGGCAAAAAATGGATGCGAAAATCATAAAAAAAACACAAAACAGAACAGAATGCTGCGAAAACGAGAGTGTCAAATTTTTTGCATACATAAAGAGACAGGCGAGGCAAATGAATCCAGCTTTATGGCACGCACACAGCCGCAGTTGCATGCAGGCACAGCAATAGAGAGAGAAGGAGAGAAAAAGAGAGAGAGATAGAGAGAGTAACACATAAACGCAATACTTGACTTTATTCCGTTGCCAGCAACGCAAGTGCCTCAATAGTGTGCGTGAGCGCGCTGTGTGTGTGTGTGCGTGTGCATTTATCTATGTGTGTGTGGACTACTTTCGCGCCGTTATACAAGCGGGCGGCACAAAATCCAATCAACATAACGAGCTACAAGCGCCGCTGAGCGGCATAAAATGAAAAAAAAAGTAAATAAATACTTATATACAGACGCCTACACACACACACTCACACATTTGCAGCTGTACGAATGTTGAAGTGTATGTGTGTGTATGTGTAGTGTGTAGTGTGTGCGTGTGCAAGCTCAACACGCTCGACATGCTGCTATTTGGCAGTGTTGCGAAACGCTGCACGAAATCAGAGCTGCCTTCTGCTGACGCCTTAAGCCCAACGCCTCCCTCCCCGCCCCACTCCCTGCCCTTCGCTCTTCTTTAAGGCTCCGAAAATAAACCGGAAAAGGGTAGACCAAAGCAGAATGCCCTGATGTTCCAGCATTTGCGAAATTATTGCCGGAATAATGCCCTAAGCCATATGCAGCACTTCCTCATTGCTGGCTCAGTATTTTAGCTTAGCAAGCAAAATCATTTCTCTTGCTTTCATAAAGTCCTTCGGCTGTGACCAGGAATTATGCTCGGGCCATCAACTGTTAGAGTCTCGAAACGCTTACGTGCAGTGCTAAAAAGCGCTTCAAGGTTTTAGCGAGAATCAAAGTATAACTGCTCAAAGGTCTCTTGGTATAAAAACAAAATATATTTCGCATAAAAGAATTATATTTTATAACTCTGATTAAAGTAGAAGTTCGTAATTGCTAAGTCTTTTCAATACATGCATCATACGAAGCTAATATCAGCTATTCCATTTCCTCTTTCTTGAGAATTATATATTAGAGAATTCTGAGAATTACATTTCTGTGAAGCTCATACCAATTCATCTTGAAAAGTGAGAGATTTTCATAGAGAAACTTGTTTAATCTATGGTAACCTTACCAGCTATATGATATACCTTATAATCCTAGCTCCGATTAATCAGATTAGCACAGCATAATTGCAACCTCTGCTTACATAATTGCTCCATTTTTCTCTCTCTCACTCCCTCTCTCTCTCTGTAACATAATGAACTGCTATGCTAAATAGCCTCATTAAATTATCTACCTCTGCTCAGAGCTCAGGCGAGTGGCTTCTGCAGCAAACAGGCAAATAATTCACAACAATTCACTTAAATTTAGAAGCAATTTCATTTCTATAAATAGATAATGTAAACGGACCAGCAGCAATTGGCAACCCTGCTGTGAACCCATTGACTGTCCATCCATGTAAGACCCAACTCTATATATCTTTTTGCTGCCCATTAATATTGTCCACAGAGCCTTTTGTGCTGGGCGTTCATTCAACTTATAGCCAAGAGCAGCAGCAACAGCAGTAGCAGGAGCAACAACAACAACAACAACAATCGCTGTGACAAGCGACATGCAAAAAAGAAAAAAAAAAGGCGGCATGGAACTGAAACTGAGACGCAGTGAGTCCTGCCCAAGCCCAAGCGAGAGGCTGGAGCTTGGGGGATGGGGATGGGGCCGAGGGAGGCAGACAAAAGTGTAGTAAAAACTGTGCGCAAAAGTGTGTCGACTTGGCAACAACAACGGCAACAACAACAACAACAAGAGCAACAAACAAATGAAATAAAAGTAAACCCATTTACACCACAGCCAGAAGAACGATGAGCAGCCCATGAACTGTGAGAAGGGGCTGTGGGTGTGGTTAACTGTGTATGTGTGTGTCTGTGTGTGTGCTGGGCGGGTGTGAGACGCTGCGGTGGCGCCAGCTGCTTGGCAAACGGCAAATGTGGGGCATTTGGCAGTCGCCGTTGCCGTTGCAGTTGCAGTCGCAGTCGCAGCTGCAGTTGCTCCGTCACATTGTTAACTTTCTTTGACAGCGGGCCAAAAACGTGGACCACCCGTGGAATGAACATCAGAGATGGGAGTGAATTGCATGAACTTTTACTCAAATTCTGTTTCGTCACGTCTTCTCAGGTCCTATCGCTGCGAAGTCATCTCTAAGTCATGTCAAGTCACATCAAATTGAATTATATATAACATGATGTACAAGTATATAATCAATATATAACGACCACTATATACATATCGTTTAACGTCTTAAAGTATATTAGATTTGACATGTCAAGTCCTAGATCTATCTATATATAGCTAGATCATGCTAAATACTAATTTGGCATTTATGGTTTGGAAGGTTTAAAACTTAAGAAGCTCTGTATATTTCTCAAAACTTCTCGTCTCATATTGTGCTTAAATTTCAAATCTAAAATATTTATTATATAGTCTTAAGCTGAGATGCTTCTCAGCTCAAAAGCTATCGGCTCATTCGTGTCACGCCATTTGAACTTTACAAAAATAATTTCTTGTTATTGCCAGCCTTATCCCAAAGCAAAATATACAGTTCCTCTATAATACGATTCATGAATACTATGTCACTCGTGTCACGCACGACTCGCGCTCCTCTCTATCTCTAGCTTCGAAGGCTCGATAGGTGTGCGCATGATTTAGCATGTGTTAGTCGCTCGCTGCTGTTGCTGCTGTTGCTGCTGTTTCAGTATCAGCTGAAAAACAGTCAGCAGGGCTGCCATGGCCAGACGAGGCCTGCAATGCAATAGCTAAAACAACAAGAATGACAACAGCACGAGCAAAAGCAGCCGCAACAACAACAACAACAGGAGCGACAGCAACTTTGTGTATTTATGGCACGAAATTGCAGGCACAGCAGCAAATTAACACAATGCGAATCCTGGCCAGCCTGTTGCCTTTCTCATGCCGATTGCGTTAAATTGATTATTTGGTTGCACAGCAGCCACACACACACAAACACACACAGCAAGGGAAGCACACCACTGCATTCCCATCAAACACAACACATTCAATTCCGAACGACTTGGTCATGGCCAACACCATTGCAATTGTTGTCCTGCCTGGTGATGTCCTGGCCCGCTGTTCGCTACTCACTGCCCACTGCCCAATGCCCAATGCCCACTGCCCCTGAGTGCTTCACTGCTGATATGCATAAAAGCCGCATTCCGCAAGGGGCGTGGCAGCCGCACACGCACTTATCGGCATTCACAGCACGTCGGCACTGACGTGGCCCAATGGAGTGCACAAAAATGCTTATAAAGGGATTAATTCGATTGCAATATTCACAGTTGTATTGGACCACACTCTGGCCATGGCTTCAGCTTTCCGATCCTAGCTTCGGCTTCGCTCCCAGCAGGAACTCGCTGCCCATTCTCGGTCAGCGGCATTGTTTTAATTGTCCGGCTCGTAATGATTTTTTATGGGTCTCACCACCAATAACAATTTGCATACAGCTTTTTAATCTAGTCTACAATTGGGCATCGTTCAATCCAGCGAGTGTACATATACATATATACATGTAAATGTGATCCGTGAAGTCTTGAATGATTATGATTGCCTTTGTTGCCGTATGGGCAATCTGTAAATTATATTTGTTTCCCAGAACTTTTCTCACTAAATAATATTGTACTAAATAATATTATAAAATATAACGAATTTTCATTGCCCATTTTCTGCACTCGGCTTCTCTTGATTTGTCATCTCTATTTAGTCTCATTTGTCACATAAACATTCCCAGCAATATCTTCGGACATTGTCTAATAAATTTCAATATCCAATTGCACACACATACACACACACACAGACAGACACCCACACACAAATACACATACCTTCCATGCACAAGCTTAAATGATAGCTGACCATTTCAAAAAGACGAAGTTCGAATAGAAATAATTGAATTTAAGGCAATCATACATATACACAAATACATATACATATACACATATAAATAGTTACATGCACAAGTTTGTGCTTCTCTGTAGGAATTCTCTTCCAAAGTTAATTGGTTCAATTTGATTTTGAATTAAATTTCACACGCATCGAGTAAAAACGTCCCCAACTGTGTGTGTGCGTGTGTGTGTGTGTGTGAGTCAAGGTGTGGAATTTAACATTTGGGAAATTAAATTTGAGTGTGCATGAGAAGGTCAGGTGCAGATTCAATTTATACGAATTAACATTAAGATGTCTTGAGCAGATATTCAAATAATTCGCTTCTGGCGCATTAGGCTAAGACAAATAATGATGACTGAATAAATGCAAGTTAATTTTAACAATTACCGTTTTCTCTTGCAGTCCGTTAACAGCCTTAAGCAGCGGCTCATCCAGCTATTTGGCATCGGCTTAGACATCTGGGCATTGAGCTTGTGCCTAGCCATGGGCACCGGACACTACTTCTGGGCGATCTTCTACTTTACCAGCCTGTGCAGCGCTTCCCTGTAAGTAGACGTCTTCCTTAGCGAACATGCATCACACACAGTAGATGCTAAAAGTATGCCTCTTTATGTTCTCACTTTTGTTCTCTGTTATTTTCATTCACGCTTTAATTTTGTTGTTTTTGATTTTTGACTTCATGTTGCACTCGAGTGTTTGTGAGTGCCGCTCCAAGCGGGTCATTTGCATACAAATGCCGTTAATTTTCCAGATGGCCACGCCCATGGCCCAAAGAGGCCGTAATGCATATGCCGTATAAGCATCCATACACATGGCACACACATCTAGAGTGTGTGTCGCCTATGAGATACATGATATATACATAAATTTCAAGTAGTGCTTTAGTCAGTTGTAGTTCGCTTATTCGCCCCGCCTCGCCTCGCCTCTGCCGCCTCTTTACACCCATCCCAGCAACGCCCGCATTACCATAACATGTTTTTATGCATTTAAACACTTTCACTCCTCTAACAAACATCATCATTAAAATGTAATTAATTTTCATGTAATTTTTGTCGGAGCATAAATTTTGGAATTATTTACGCTCAAGCCGAGGACAGAGCCGGCCAGCGCACCTTTTGTGGCTGGGCTTTGTCGAGGCTTCTGATAAGTGCGACAGTGTATAATGCAGACGCCAATTCTGATTCCACAATCGAACACACGACACTCAATTTGTATATAAAAGCCAGATCAAAAAGCCGAACAAATTTCAGCCAAGTCTCACTGCTGTAAATTATTATGCGAATATATTTTTTATGCAATTCTATACTAAGGAAATTATTACAACAAATTTGTTCAGCATCTTTTTCAAAACTACTTCAAATAATTGCCTAAAATAAAAAACAATTTGTACACAAACCCCAAAAAAAAAAAAAAAAATATAATAATAATATTGAATCAATTGAAAAGCAAATCAAAATTAAAGTTATACGTGCGTACCTATCCATATCCTGATTTCAGAGCAAATAATGCCAAAATAAATTTCCGAGAAAAGGAGAAAAAAGTCTTAGATCAAATTTTAGGTGCAGGCAAATACGATGCCAGAATTCGACCATCGGGAATAAATGGCACAGGTGAGCATATACTTTTACCAACCACTGTATAACAAGACATACTGTTCCTCTATGATAGTTTCTACTAAAACTAAAGTCTTTATCATTTTACAAATTAATTTATCATTTTTTAAATTTAAACTACAGCTAAAAATGCTAACAAGAATTGGTATTATTATATAACTATTGTATATTTCTAAGTCTCTGTTAAGTACTTATAACAAAAAACATAAAAAAAAAAAATAAGAGCTAAATTAGTTTAGAGAGACCTTACGGTGACCTAATCATTAGTTTAGCTACATAATAATATTGCATTTGAAACGATATTAAGAAAAACTCACAATTTAAACCAACCAAACTCTATGCCAGATGGTCCCGCCATAGTCAGAATCAATCTATTCGTACGCAGTATAATGACGATTAGTGATATTAAAATGGTAAGTCACATACTAGAGTGAGCCAAATCCAAAAAAAAAAAAAATAAATAAATAAATAAAAAAAACCAATTGATAACAAAACCCTTGGCCATCTAATTCGATAGACCCAATAGAAATCTCGCCCTATTTCGCTCGCTCTCTCTCTCTCTCTCTCTTTCTCTCTGTCTCACATCAACAAGCACACCATTCGACATGCAGTACACTATAGAAACTCCCCATCCATAACTAAGCATAACCAAATGATTTCGGTAGTAATAACAGCGACTAGAACCACACAGCTGAATGCTCTATGCTACTCTGCTCACACAGACACACACACACACGCACACATACACATATATAACAAACATATCTATATAGATAGACGCAACTCACTCACATATACATATATACTAAGCTAAGCAATAGCTCAAATAAAATAAAAGAGATTTTACACTTTGTTTATTTTTGCGTTGAAGTTGTGTTTCTAACTTTCTCTATCTATTCATAACAGTCTCTCTCTCTCTCTCTCTCTCTCTCTATGTCTGTCTCTCTGTGTCCCACCCCCTGAATCTCTTTTAGACATTCCATATTGAAAATACCTAGCTGACCCTTCTCCCCCTCTAGCCCAATCTCCCTCTGTTTCTAACCCTATATATAACTTTGTTTGCTGTTCTTTGGCTATTGGAATTTGCGTTCTTTGCGTTTGTTTCATGTTCCACTTTCTGTTCTCCTTCGTTTTTTCTCATTTCATTCGTTTTGTTAGAGCAAAGCCACATTTATGGCACATGTATTTTGATACTCTTGTATGCATACATATCTAAAAATGCATATCTACATATCCATATACCTACATGTATTTGTTCTATCTTTCAGTTTTGGTTTCACGCATATTTTAGAGAAAGCGTTTTTTGCATTTTCCGATTTCGTTTCGTTTGTGTTTTTTGTTTCTTGACTTTCATGTTTTTTGCCAAGGATACAATTACGCCAGAGTAACATTGTTCTTTCCACTGTATTCATATATATATAGAGAACTATTTGCTTATATACTACTTACTTATATACTACTCAACTATCTACTACTACTACTACTACTATTTCAACTAGCTGCAGTCATAGCTGGCAGTTTTTGCTTTTTAAGTTCTCCTCTTTTGAGTTCAATTTGACATGCAAACGCATTAACTCTTATACAACAAACACGCACACACACACACGCACGCACGCACACAACTTTACACTTGAGCCAAGTGCTGGAAAAGTCCTGATGCCTTGGCAAATCGATAAGTCATCAATTTCAAGTAAAATTTGGACATAAAACTGTTGCCTACTTCTGGGCTGAGCACAAAGCATTTTCGTTCTGCTGGCTTTTAACACACACACACGCTCACTCAGTCAGATAAACACACAGTTACACAGACTCACTTGTGAGTGCCCTGCAAACATTTAAACTCTAAAAAGATAGTGTGGCAGTATCTAATGATGTTTCAGGGCCTCAAACAAGCATCTGTCTATGATGCATATAATGTAGACTGAGATGAAAAAATATATATAATTTTTTCCGTTTGGCTATCCCTAATATATACACTATATACTGGAAGTAATTTAGTTTTTCTTATATGGTTAAAGTTTTCCCACAGCGAACTGATTTGCTGTCCAGTATTTTTTGCAATGATAATTTACTTAAAATACAAAGATGTTGTGACAGATGAAAGTGTGACGTCATGTCTATACATTAACAGTAAATACCAGACAACCATTTTTATAGAGATAGGACTATCTTCAATGTAAATCCTAAGCAAAACGATTCCATTGCATTGTCAATTGCAAACAATTCAATTTTGAGTTTTGGTAGAAAATATGGAAAATAATTAAGTGATATCAATAACAATAGTTTTTTTGGCTAGTCATAAAATATATTTGTGGAGTTGGCAGATTTGAAATATATATACTTATATGATATGGATACAAGAGCAATTCGAGTAATCACCATAAAAATCATGCTTACAATTAAGTGGACTACATGTAATCGTGTTTTTGTTAAATGTTTTTATAATGTAAATCAAGTTTTGCTCTTTTTCTCTCTCTCTCCCTCTCTCTATCTCTCTCTGTATTTATCTGTCTCTCACACACCTCTGGCCACATCAAAAAGTATTTAAATGTGTGTTCGGGGGCTTATACAATAAAAAATAAACCACTCTATAATTGTGTGCGTGTGTTTGAAATTTACTATCCACTTAGCCAACATCGCTTTATTTCCAGTTTGATTGCAACAAAATTGGATTTTATTTCCAGTCGTGTGTGTGTTTCAGTGTGTGTAGCTGTCATGTTGACTTTTGCCGCAGCACTGACATCATTAAAATTACAAAAGTATCATCCATATGCATAAATATATGCTGCGGCCCACTCAATAGTCATTTGTTAAAGTCAATAAAGCTAACGAAAAAAGAAAGAAAAAAAAAAAAAACAAAAAACTATAATTATTTGACCATCAATTAGTACATTTTTATAGCGTATCAGGTCTCATTCGCCATGCTCTATAGTTCATTGTTTTGGTTTTCGTCACATTGCAATTGTCACTCCCACGAAATTCATACACATACGACTACTTAAGGATCAATTATGTATTATATATGCAAATCACAGCAATCTATAACTTTATATGAATTAGCTTATATTTCTAAGATATATCAAGAGAGCAAAGTAATGCCGTAACTAATTTTAAGCAGTGCATAGAAATGAAAATAAACTTTTATTACAGCAACGAAAACTAAATTTAAAACACATGAAACCATATAGAAACCAGACTGGCCCAAAGCTCACTCGCCATTCTAAATATATGATATGCTAAGTTTTTAGTATCACAAATTTAGCAGCAGCAGCAGAAGCAGCTGAAGAGGGAGCTGCATGGCTAGCCGGTGCGCTGCCAGTTGACCAGTTGTTAAATTTTGTTTATTACCCATTGTACAAAACGGTCTATCTATATGTATCATCCCTCCAGATGGTCCAGCCGTCGTGCGCGTCAACATATTCGTTAGAAGTATATCGAAAATCGATGATGTAACCATGGTAAGTGCGCGCAAAACTCAAAAATCCAAAAATAATTCAAAGTAGTTAAGAACCACAGACTCTCAGACCTAGCCCTTGCCCTTGCCCTTGTCCTTGCCCAAAGGTATAGGTGTTTGTGTGAGTGCCACAAACTATGAACATAGTCCTCTCTCAGAAACGTTCGCTCTCACTCTGACTAATTCTCTAGTGTCTCCCGGTCTCTCGCTCTCTCGTTCTCTACCTCTCTCTCTCTCTCTCACTCTCTCTTTGTCTTTGTCTCTCTGTCTCACTGTCCATGTCAGGTTTGCTTCCCGTTACAGTGCGCGTTCCTTATGTAACTGCCGTTAGTTGTTATGTCTTATCTACGACCAGGCAATTGACCAACAGAATAACACAAATACCATTAAATATTATTAATAATAATAATTATTATGCTATATATATATTATATATCGGATATTGGTATTTTAAAACTATCGATGTTTTTTAATTTCAACTTATTTTCAATCAACAAATTATTTGCTTTTATTGATTCATAAAAATAACAAAAATTAATACGAAAAATAAAAAATTTTACAAAAATTCTGTAAAGAAATTGTTGTTCCTCGTTTTGAACAATAAATTCGAATTGATTAGCGTTGTAATTAGATTGTGCATATTATACAAATTTTAGTTATTTTATTTTTTTAAAGTTTGCATTGGTAACGTTAAGTTTTTTATTACATTTTCAATATATGTTTGCTCTACAAAAATGTAAAATAACAAACTTGTTTTGTAGTATGAAATGAAACAAAACATAAAGAAAATGTCTTTTTGGATCTCTATCTCTCCCTCTTTCTCTCTCTATCTCTCTATCTATATTGTTATCTATCTCTATCTACCTCTTTATATATCTCTCAAATATTTCTAGCTCACACAATTTGTATGTCTCTCTCACTTTCTTGATTTTAACTAAATTACATTTAAATCTAGTTTTCATTTTAAATCTTTAATCATCTTGTAACTATCAACCTACCAAATTCTCCATCTCTCTCTCTCTCTCTCTCTCTTTCTCTCTGTGTCTTTCTCTCTCTCCGCCAATATATAAATATATACCTGTCTCTCTCTGAGTTTCTCACATATTTACTCTCCCTAACAATAAACATTTATAGATTCCACTTAATGTTAATTATGCCTACATAAATTAACTTATTATCTTATATCAAATTTCTACTAATTGTGATGATAATGATGACTGCGAACAACAGCTATTCAATTATATATACATATGTCTATGTATATATACACATACATACATATACATTGCTGGTCCCTTATACTGGCTGTCGTGTGTATTTTCCGTTAAAAATAATAAATTAATAAGCAAACCTCAATTGATTGACGATTTTAAATATAATTCTATTATTTAAACGACAATATCCAATTTTATCAATTTTATAATTGCTTTTGTTTTATTGCCTAATATATGTATACTTAGCATCGAACAACCTAATTGCCTACAAAAATGCAGCAAATTGTATGCAAAATATGTTACTCGATTTTTCCGTGTGCTTTATACGTGTGTTGGTTGGTTAGCTATCTATAATCCCTCACCCACTTCACAAGTACCGCCCCGATTCACAATCAATTTTTCATTTATCAATTGTTTGTTATTTGTTTAGTTTGATGCCTGGAAGCAATAGATATATTATTTCTATTTCTATTTATAGACCAAACCAAAAACTACCAAATTTAAAATGAATAATAAAAACCGAAAACTAATTAGTTTGAAGCTTTCAAAGTGTTTAGCGAATTGAAAATGTGTGGCATGCATTCGATCATAAAAACAATAAAAATAATTAAAATTAAAATGCTATACAAATTTATAACAACATGTTTTAAATGTTAAAAACTATCCCACTTCGGATTATCGAAGATTTCATATCCTTGCAAAAAAAAAAAAAAAAGAATAAATGAATTTAAATAAGAAAATATTTATAATATAATATATTATAATATATATATCCTGCTTACGGATCCGATTGCGCTGGCAACTGAAAATATAAAACCCAAATTTCTAATCAGATATTTATACATACATTATACATCGTATAGACTGAAGCGCTTTGCCCTTTGCAAGGGTATATGGTTAAAATCGATTTTAAAAAAAATTGATTCAATACTTAATTAAATATTCTTATTGCTGTTTTAGAAAATCCACAGGAAACTAAATGAACCTAAATTTCACACTTTAATGAGATCCATGCAGACATTTTTGTGTATCAATTTGAAAAATTAAAAAAATATTCATTTTTTTTTTTTTTTTTTATCTTTTGAAGTTTTAGTTTTAACATACAAATCGTGCACACATAAAATTCATCAAAAACAAACAAACTTAAAGCAAAAGTCAATGTTAAGGTAGACATAAGATTATGCTAAGACATGAATAAGTATATGAATACATATATGTATGTGTATACATACACATATATATCATTAGGTATATACTTGCACCCGATCGTTCATGAAAACAATGATAACTCATAAAGCGAATGCTGCTCGATTTTGATATGATAATTTTTTAGCGAATTTGCCCACATTAGTCCAGGTCAACATGTTTCTGCGTTCCATATCGAAAATCGACGATTACAAAATGGTGAGTGCAGGCGCCTAGGCAGTAATCGATAATGCAATCTATGCATAGGCGTAAATACATATATACTAATACTAATGCAATTAATATCTGAATGAATGTACATGCATACAAGTACAAGTCCAAGCGCTTTAAAAATCTTGCTCAAACTATATGTTATAACTAAACAACAACAACAACAACCAAATACTCGCATATCTTATTTAACTTCTGTGTATGTACGTGTGTGCGTGTGTGTGTGTGTGAGTGTATGTCTGTGTGTAAATTAAATTCAAGTCACAAAACCTTTGCTTTTTCAATATATATCTACTCTACATAAATACTATAGTACGAGATGTATATCTATGTATAAATTATTGAATAAATGTTAATACTAAATAATAACTATACATATAAATATATTAAATAATTGAACGATTCAATTTATTGGCTGTATAAAATTCTACATATTTCATTTCTTCAACACCTTCCAACTGTCTTGCCAAATTCAAACCACTTTACCAGAAATCTCTTGCACACAAACAAAATTTTCAAAATATTTTTCAAAAAATAAAAAATAAAAATAAAAATAAAACTACAACCTATTTCGGCATACCGAAAATTCTGTACTCTTGTAGTGTTGAGCTATATTTCCAACAAAGCCATTTCATAAAGCAATAAAATAAGTCTGAGGTTAACTGAAGAACTCGAGATTTTTCCTATCCTTACTTCTTGAAATCATTCAATGGCAACTCAAGTATAAATATAATCTATGTATTAGATAACTAAGACCTTCTGAAATATTTTGGCAAAACTCTTATCTACAAGAGTATAAAGTTGTTCATTTCGATGTCAGCATTAAATTGTAATATAATTCCGATTCACCCACATGTAAGAGATTTCTGTTTATTTACTTAGATACATATTCATTTATGTTTGCAAGCATACATGTCTCAATGTATGCATCTCTATATATGTATATTTCTCAATGTACCTTTATAGAAAGACGTTCAATTCTAATATGTTTTTTCACTTAAAGCTATTTTATATGATTTTCTCTTCTTTTGATTCACACGAAATCTCAGTAGGCGCGCGCTATCTCGCTTTGTCTCTGGAGCTCTTTTTCCCTATCTATCTCAGTCTCTCTCGCTCTCTCTTATATACTATCTTTCTCTCTCGCTTTCTCTCTATATCTATCTTTCACTCTAAATATATATGTATGTATATATATATATATCTAGATAAATATATATATGTATGTACATATTTGACACTTTTTCAACACTCGATGCAAATTTAAGAGAAATTTATTGTAATTTAAGCTAGTTATTAAGTTTACATCTGTAAGTTTCTCATAGCTTAAAAACAGTGCTCTACAAATGGAAACTATGTTAGTCTAAGCAAGCAAGCTAGGAAAGTAACTAACTTCAGACTTTCAATCACCTCGCCAGCATCTGCTCATTAAACAACCAAATTTCACCGATTTTCAGTGCCATTCGTTTCTTTAGCCAATAAGCCTTCTTCATTTAACATTTTAAGTGTCATATATATATATATATATATTTTTGATACTCAATTGAGGACAGTAGGATAAGAAGAAATGCTTACCACACATGCCACGATTTCAACATATTTTGATTTTAGTTAAAACCCAGCTTTAACTGTAAGTATGAAAAACAATGAGTTTTCATTGAATTTATCGCGCGTTCAGGGACTCTGCATTTGTCATTCGCATATCCGCCACATGCAAAATAAAATCTCGTTACATTACAAATTACAGTTCCTGAACACCTAAAAAAGAAAAAATCCTATTCATTCTGACAGTTTCGCCATAAAAAATAATGTGTATCAAACAAATAGCTGGCATCAATTTATTAAGTGGAGCCACAGTCGCATTCGAACAAATACGTATAAATGACATATAGTATGAAAAACCCTTTATTTGTTATAATTATTCAAAGTTTTTTGTTGTCAGTTTTTTGCTTCATATGTTTACAAATGCCATTTGGTCTTGCATTTCTTTCATTGATATTGAAAAAAGTTATACAAATAATGCAAAAAATAAATTGCCGACTTCATTATGAACAGCTAATAGGATTTTATTAATCAATTCAAGTTCTGCTTCCTTTATAATTTATGCCTTCCGCTGAATGGAAACCCCTAGTTTATCATTTCATCTTCCTATATATGTATATAATAGCATGCTTTACCAATATTTATATTTAAGCATGCACCATTGGGGGTCTACAAAAAATAAGTATGCATAGTAATAATAACTTTAACGTAACTTTGGGAGCCGGAAATCTTTGTTGTCTACCGGAAAGGTATTCAATTCGCAGTCTTTACTAGACTGCTGAAAATAACTGTTTCTATAGGATATTTTTATAGTTTATTTTCAAAAAAACATTGATCCCTGAATTTCTTTTAGAGCACAAATAAATGTATTTTAATTGGACATACCTTTGCTCCAATTACAAAATGAAGTGAAATATTCTCACGTGCTAAAGTTTTGCCAAAATCATTTTTATGAATCTTACAAAAGTTTTGCATGCAGAGTTTTAAGTTAACTTTAAGAATATATTTCTATTTATATATCTGTATGTATATATTCAAATATGAATGTTTAAGTCTAGGCCAAGTTAAAATATAAGCCCGATCCTCTTACTATATCATATTGCCTGCTTTGTTGTTGCCTCAGCTGTTGGCTTTGCTTGCGCCATCGCCTTTGCCTGCTTGTGTCGCCTGCTCCATAGATGTTGTATGATTGCTTATGAATTTTTGGCACGTTGCAAGCTGCCTTTTGCTCTTTTTGCTTATTGCTTATTGCCTGCTTTGTATTTTGTATGCAACACGTTGCGATGCGCCGAACAATGCATTGGATAATGATGTTCATGCTGAATGTGGTTGATGTTGCATGCTCAGCATCGCAGACGCATCTTGAATTGCATTTTGATTCCATACATACATACATATACATATATATATACACATAAGATATATATACAAACTTATGTATGTGCCTTGACATGAATACTACTCACATACAACTTATACCAATACCATGCCGAGAATATGCAACTAGCCGAAAAGCAAAACGCTATACAACAGTTTCAATAATAATCGCCATCATATATACTCTTCTTACTAACAAATATAAACTAACTACTCGAACAAAATTTATATAAAAAAAAAAAAAATAACGTTCGCCACGCCTCGCCACGCCTTGCTCGCTCTCATATACAATCTACCACAATACCAAATATAAATATATTCAAAAAGAACAAAATCTATCTAAAAATCAAGTTAATGTCCCCTCGCAAAAGCAAGCCCACCAATTGATACGCCCCACACCCACCACAAAAATTAAAAAAAAAAAAAAAAACGAAACAACAAAAATACTCGAGAAATTTCCAAAATTTGAGGTTATTCGAAATTTGCATTGTAGTTCGAATTGAATTGCATTGAAACTGAAATTAAAATGAATACCTATAGAAACCCCTACGATTCGCAGCACTAACTAAGTTCTCTTTTATCCCAACACAAACGAAAAACCTTTCGATCGCGCACCGCAGGAGTACAGTGTACAGTTAACCTTTCGAGAGCAGTGGACGGATGAGCGTCTCAAATTCGATGATATACAAGGTGAGTAGCCAGATGGAACTTCCCTATGGTAGAGATCTCTAAATGCATTCCAACTATCCCTAAAGGTCGCCTGAAATATCTCACACTGACGGAGGCGAATCGTGTGTGGATGCCGGATTTGTTCTTCTCCAATGAGAAGGAGGGACACTTTCACAATATCATCATGCCCAATGTGTATATACGTATATTTCCCAATGGATCGGTGCTCTACAGTATACGCATCTCACTAACATTGGCCTGCCCAATGAATCTCAAGCTGTACCCATTGGATAGACAAATATGCTCACTTCGAATGGCTAGCTGTAAGTAATATTAAGTAGCTACATAACTATATATAAAGAAGTTTCGATTTATATAACTATCATATTATATTCAAATCGTATACATATATGTATGCAAGAGCCTCAATCGATTATCCTACATACCTACTCTCTATATGTGTCAACTAAATGATCTTCCTCTTCTCTCTTAGACGGCTGGACTACCAACGATTTGGTATTCCTTTGGAAGGAGGGTGATCCCGTGCAAGTGGTAAAGAACTTACACCTACCTCGCTTCACATTGGAGAAGTTTTTGACTGATTACTGTAACAGTAAAACCAATACGGGTATGTTTGTTTGTGTGTGTTCCTTGACTGTTGTGTTGATGGTGTTGAGAACTAACTCTATATGATTCAACTTTTACTTGAACTTATCTATCTATCTATATCTTAACTTTGTCAATATGTAGCTTTAGTTAACTTTCATATTTTCGTTGCGAGTTTTTTTGCATCTATTCATCTATGTAACCTATGCATTCAATAACTACTTTACTTATATGTATCTATAGTTTTTATTTCAAATATAGTTGTTCGCTTGTATACTCTATCTATAATAAACGGCATCATAAGCACTTCATAGCAAACACTAATACACACACACACCCACACACACATATGCAGCCACACGAACACATGTAATGATGCCGTTTACACATGAGCATCTCGTAGGACCGTTATCAATGCCCGAATCGCATAAAAACCAAGTTTTTACGATGTAATTCACACACACTCGCAAGACACTCACACCCACCCACCGACACACACACACACACACTTACTGTTCTTCTCTAGCTGCCACACTGACACGCCCATTTTAAGTGCAGTTTTGGCATCGCGTGTCGCCTTACCTTAGCCGAGTTTTTATGAGCAATTCGAAATCAGTTGGCGCTTTAAGCAAATGTTTACCTTGGCTACCAAGAACTACCGCGCATCTGAGTATCGCAGCTCTGAGCATCTGAGCACTGCGAGGCGGCAACCAAATACGAAACGGAAAAAGAAAATGAAAGAAAATGGCAAAAGGCGGGCCACGGAAAGCAAATTAATCGAGGAAATTGTCTGCGACGCAGTTGCTTAAACTTGCACAAAGAGCAAATATCCCCCAATCCCATGCCCCCATTCCCACCAATAATGATGATCTATGTGTGTGTGTGTGTGTGTGTGTGTGTGTGTGTGGGCGGATGTGTCTATGTGACTGAGCTGTGGCATACAAACGCGCAAAACTTTTTCACAAACTTGGCAAATAGTCTGTCAGCATCTTTAGGTGGATAATTTATAGCTAGAAAATGCAACTGATGTGGGCCTCCGCCATTTGCCTACCACACCCACATCTCCGCAAATGCGTATGCTGCATTTCTGTCAGCGATAAGTGCAAGTAACTAATGATATCCACTTGCATTGTATTATGGAAAGCTTGCATTTAAAAATAATGGATGGCAGACTCTCCATCTGATTTGCATGTTTCAGTTACAGGATTCCAATATAAGAGTTTCATTGGCGTATTCTAGAATATCAAAATACCAGAAAAGAAGTAGCAAATTTGTAGCCAGGGCTGCAACAGCAATTAATTTAAAACTGGAGCCCTAATCATATATTTATAATTTCAGATTAAAAACAGTATTTTTTCACAGCGAATCACAAAGATTTTTAAAGAAACAAATTTGAAAAAAAAAAAAAATGAAGATAGTGCTCAACAATAATGGATACTAAATTGAATCCGTATACAACCCACAGTTAATACAAATTTTTATCAAGTCTCTCATCATAGCTCAATCGAATGCCCATTGAAACCCCTTTCATAGCTAGCAGAATTTTTAGCTCATTCGAAGGCTTCGGATAATATAAATTAAAAACACTCATCTCAATCATTTGCCCGCACTTGAAGCGATGCATGAGCCTGCAACTCATCTGCCCGTTCACCAGTCTAAAAAGAAGATATATATGTATTTGCATATATGTATGTTTTTTTTTATATATTTTTTTGGTTCAAAACATAACCCAACCCGTTCTTAGACGTTGCGTAGTTGTTTGCATTTAGTTCGCCTTGAACTTAGTTGCTCACATAAAGTTTATTAATTTTATATCTTCTATGAGCGTTTAAAATGGAGAGAAAACTGGCCATAGATAAAATGCAAAAACAAAAACAAAAATAAGTAAAAACTGAATATCCAAACAAATAAAAATGCCACATGCGACTGCGAATAAATATATATATAATATATATGTGAAAATATATATATCATACCCCACAGAGAGCCAGAACCCTCGAAAGAACCGCAGATCAATCAGAAACGAGAGCAATGCAAATGAAAATGAAAATGAAATGAATATGAAAATATAAAAATATGAGAATGTTAAATATTAAACAGCTTTGTCTTGAAGAGTATGGAACGCAATGTCAACAAATTAACGGAAATGAAGGGCGGCTACAACCAGGCAGCATGGGGGCGTGTTGGCAGCGGAAGCTAACAACAGGAGCGACGGCAACAGCGACAGCAACAACGATAACAACAACAACAGCCACAGCAGCAACACACGCACCCACTCTACAAGCCCCTGCGAACTTCATTTCCGTTAAGAATTTTTGTTGCAAGCAAGAAAATGAACAACAACCAAAAATACAACAACAATTGTCAGAAAATTGAATTGAATTTTGCCTATGATGCCATTTTATAATTTTCCAACTCAACTCTGTCTCTTATTCCGTCTCTCAATGTCATTCGTTTTGTATTATTTCATTTCTTTTCCCTCACTTTTCGTTTTGTATATACATTAATTTATACCACCCACTGTGCATCATATTATGTTTTTTATATCTTCTTTTTTTTTTTTTTTTTAAGCCATCCTCTTTCCTGTACAGAAAAAAAAGAACACAAAGAACAACAAAAAATTCATGAAAAGTAAATGTTCTCCTAATTTCTGATTCATTTCTTCGTGGCAAAATTTCAAAAGCAAGCAAATTGATTTTGGTTTTTACTGATTTATTGGATGACAAATTTGGTTTGATAAATATATTTAAAATATTGGAAATGTACGTGTGTTTTGTCTGTGTGTTTCTACTTATTTTTTTGTCAGTGTCTAAACTCACCTACTCTCTGTGTACATATACATATACATATACATATGTGTGCGTGCGTGCGAGATCAAAAATGAACTAACGCCATTTCGAATCCTTCCCGTACATTTTGAGTTTGACACAGTTTTATATTACCTTGTATACTCATAGGTGAATACAGTTGCCTCAAAGTCGATCTACTATTCAAGCGAGAATTCTCATATTACTTAATACAAATTTATATACCATGCTGTATGCTGGTCATTGTATCATGGGTATCATTCTGGCTGGATCAAGGCGCAGTGCCCGCGCGCGTATCGTTAGGTAAGTGCCCAACCGCAGATTGCGTATGAAAATCACGTTTCAGCTAAGCCAACTCTAGACTGCTGGTAACCCATATATGTACATGTATATCTGTTCTCTTCTAGTACGTCTATCAGAATTCAATCGTCTATAAACTTACATTTGTTCTAGGTGTAACCACTTTACTAACTATGGCCACACAAACATCGGGCATTAATGCCTCACTGCCGCCCGTTTCCTATACAAAGGCAATCGATGTTTGGACCGGCGTCTGTTTGACGTTTGTCTTTGGGGCGTTGCTCGAATTCGCCCTGGTGAACTATGCCTCCCGCTCAGGTTTGAATAAAGCTAGTAATTGAGATTTGATATGCTTCTTAACAAACTTACTTAATGTATTAATCGATGGTGTTTATTCTATTTTTACTCTTGTTTGTTATTTTTCAACATTATTTTTGTCGAGTACAATGCATATACATACATATATATATGCATTAAATAAGTATATATATATATTTATTTATATGCTCCGTGTAACGTATATTGTGTATATATACCTATATGTAACTACAATTTACTCGCATATCTAATAAACAAACTCGTAACGGACTGTCAAATACACACACACACACAAACCAACACTCACACACACACCTACACCCAGTTGAGCTTCATATCTACACTCGCCGGCGTTTCACACAATTTTTGTCGGGATACAAACAAACTGATTTTTGATCTACAACTACAACAACAACAACAACTACTACAACTACAACCACCAGCAGCAACTAAATATTTTTAACAGCTATAAGCCAACAATTTGTAGTCTAGCATTTATTTTTCATTCAATATATATGTATCAATACATGTATTATTTTTTATTGTCGATTCTTTTTGGTTATTTCATTCACATAAATATTGTAACAACAAAATGATTTTTGCATATATACTTCTACTAATCCAATTGTTTTGATTTACTCTCTTATTTCATTTCACACTCATACACACACATATATTCATCCAACTCACTCACACACACACATACATACATATACTCACACACTCAAATCCTACACGCGTTTGATAAAAAATTGGAAACAAATCTGTAAACGATTTTCATTTTGTTTTTTTTGTTTTTTTTTTGCTTTTTCGACACCAAACGCAATTTCAAAATTGTTATATTTTTTGCTGTTGCTATTCAATTGTACATATTTAAAATAAAACAACGAAACATACATACAAATTTTCCAATTGACAAAACAACTTGCACTTGATTATAAACATTTCAAAAATTTTATTGAAATATTGATTTTTATTTTGCCAAACCTTTCAAATTGTTTAATGTTTCTGTATGTGTGATCTATCTATCTCTGTCTGTCTCTCTTTCTTTCTCTCACTCGCTGTCTCTGTCGCTATCTAACTGTATAACTGTATAAATGTGTGCTATGCATCTTACCTAAAATCTGACAAAAATACAAACAAAATATTACAAAAAATATTAAACTCAATTGTAAATTACGAAAAAAAAAAAAAAAACCAAACTAAAATCTACAACAAAATTTGTCTATCGAACTATTCGAAATATCCAACTTTTGTGGAACAAATAAATTCTTGTCCAACATCTTCCTATCACATGCAACAATATACGGATCGGGCCGCAGACATGCATAAGGAGAATATGAAAAAGAAACGCCGCGATTTGGAGCAGGCCAGTTTAGATGCTGCTTCAGATCTGCTCGATACAGATAGCAATGCAACATTCGCAATGGTACTTACCTTTCAATTTACTAACGATTTTATGTGTATTCAATAACGGAGGAGCTAAGCAATATTCCAATAAGAAGAACAACTTAAAGAAAATATAAATGTGATATATTTACTTAGATTTCTGATGTAGGAGTTTCTCTAGTATTTATAGATTTTTTCCATTTAACAAAACAGAGGAGAGAACTAGATAAGAAATGACTTCGAGCGAGGCCTTAGGACTATAAAATTTTAATCTAACTCAAGAGCAAGCTAGCAAAGAGTAGATAAGTAATCAATATTAGAACTGTCAGACAATATATAGAAACAATAGAGTATATGAGAAATATATACATATAAATAGCAGAAAATCTCGGAAAGCCACATTGAGTCGCGTTTATTTTAGCTCTTCTTCGTGTGTAAGTAATAAATATTTGAATAATTGCAAATGTTAGGTAATAATCTCGTAGGATTTGTAAAGTTTTTAGAACCCATTGCCAAGTTAAATCCACATCAAACCATTTAACTTAAAACCAAATCCACTTTACGAGCTTTCTTAACAATCAAATGAAAAGCAAGACCAGAACTCAAATTGGCAATTTGCAAAATGTTTATGATAAAACTATTAAAACAACTATTTCCTTTTATATTTGCCTCTTTTTATTAAAAACCACACGCACATACACACACACACACACACGCACACATATACAAAAAATACGCAAAATTTAACAACTTTTTTCAAACGTGCTCATACGCAACAAACACGCACACACACACACGCACACTCACATGCCCAACTCAATCTCCAACACTCAACTTGACCTCAAAAAATGATAAAAAAAATAAAATAAAAAAACACACACACACACACAAAAACATCATCAAACATCGCTGCGTGGCATTCAATCGACTCAACCAACTGAACTGGAATTTGATGAAAAATTGCAACGAAATTAAATGAAATTACGCACATGCCACACCCATGCGCCACTCGCCTTTCTCCATTCTCCATTCTCCACTCGCTATTCGTCATTCGCCATTCGCCATTCGCCATTTGCGACTGCATTTCGTAATCGTAACGCCATCCAATTACCCAACACCCCCAACGTACCCCCCTCATTGCATCAACTACAATCAAAATTCCATCTCAAACGGCATCGCAATATTCGCGCGGGGCTGGCCTGCAGAAGCCCCTGGTGCGTCATCCGGGCGATCCGTTGGCCCTAGAGAAGCTGCGCCAATGCGAGGTCCACATGCAGCCACCGAAGCGCCCCAGCTGCTGTAAGACTTGGCTATCCAAGTTTCCCACAAGGTAACTCAACTCAACTGTTGTACGCAACCGTATTACCTAGTTGAATTTCGTTAAACAACATTTTGTAGTAGTTGATGGATTTCCTTTTTGATGTTGTGAATATGTATCTACAACTTGCTCACTCTGTCTCTCTTTCTCTCTCTCTCTCGTTCTATATACTATAAATTTGTTATCTATCTATATATATATTGACTTTTTATGCTACTAATTAACAGTAATTGAATTGGGCCCTCAAACAGAATCTTGTACTTTACATTAAAGACAAACCCGATTCGAGTTCTGCTTTGCTGCTTGCCATCATCATTTGTTTTGCTCGCTGTCTTTTGTTTCAATGCTTGCTGCCAAATGATTTGCCATCTGGCCCTCGAGGAGTCCAGAGTCAAGTAAAATGTGACAATATAATTTGCTTAACGCTCTGCGTCAATTACACTGTGCAACAAAGTTTTAAGTGATACCAACTTAACTGTAATTATCTTTTTATATGTAACTGCAGCAAGTAAAAGTCAACTTTAACTKAATGCAGAAATTTATACACTCTCTCAAATAATAATAATATACATATCTAAATAAATTTTCTTTTCTTGTGGAAGAAAGAGTATTTAATAAAAGCTTTTTTTCAAGCTGGATATCTTCTAGTCGACTACCCCCAACTAAAGCACTTCTGCTTCTTTGTCTTTCATTCAATCTTATTTCTATAATTGAAAACGCAAACTTTGTTAAACAGTGTAAATTGCTGCAGTTTAAACTTAAAAAGTTTTGTTGTGTGCTTTGCTTTCTATCGATTTGTTTGTTTTAAAAAAAAAAAAAAAGTTTTTTTTGTTGTAGTACGAAAATTTGGATCCCTTAGTACCGAGCCACATCCCGAAAATCCATATGCCCTGCTAGCTGCCCATGCGCTTGTGTTTATTTTGAGTAGATCTTAATTCCTTAAGAAGCACTTTTATGATTTTCACGCACGTAGCTGAAACTGAAATTTTGATTTTCTTACTTCAAATATTTAAAACAAACAAATTATTGTGCCATCGAAATAAAACAGAAAACTTCTTAAAAGCCAAGCCAAATGAAAGAACAATCACAAATCAAAAAGCCAATCTCTAGATGATCAATTAATGTGTTTCGTACTTGTTGAATATTTATCCAAGACAATGTTCTAGATCGAAGAGAATCGATGTTATCTCGCGAATCACATTCCCGCTGGTCTTTGCGCTCTTCAATCTGGTCTACTGGAGCACATATCTCTTCAGGGAGGAGGAGGATGAGTAAATGCCGTTTWACTTATATTTACTTAACATATATTTAGAGAGAAACACTGGCACCACAATACCAGAAATTGTACTAACCTATTATATCTCTCTTTTCTTAATTTCTACTTTCATTTACCAATTTACGTTCCAAATTCTTTTGCGTATGGCTTTCGTTCGGCTTGGTTTTTTGCAAATAACCAAATATGTTTATATGATTTTGATTCGATTTTTCATACTGAAACTGAAACGAAAATGAAAACGAAAATGAAAACGAAAACAAAAAAGGACCTTCTAAAGCGCGTCCGCGTCTCTGAAAACCAAAGGCTATGTAGAATCCAACATGAAATTTACAATACGGCACATATATATATATATATGCATACCGATATGTATGCGTATATATAAATATATATATAAATATGTGTATGCTTTGCTTGATCAAATGGGGCGAGACAAGGCTTCAAGGCATTTCCACTATAAGAAAATTTGATGAGCGACAAAGATATTTACTAACTATAAGTTAAATTGATCAAGTACGACTGCATAGTAGATAAAAGAAATTTAAGAAATTGAAGAGAAATCACAGCTGTATTTTAATGAGAACAAACAGAAACGGACAAAGCGATTTGTGGGCGTTTTGCAGAACGCTTTCAGCTCGATTTGTCTAAATTTGTTTTTAATGATCAAAATTGTTAAACTAAAAAAATAAAAAACAAAATACAGATTTTTAAATAAATTATTTATAGGCCTAAATCCATATACGTTTTGTTCATAATTCAATTAGTTTAGTTCCAAACAAATTACAATTAATTTGTACTTAAAATGCGCTAAGTTAGTTGTAAAGAAACTTCAAAGAAGAAGAAGATGATGAAGGAGAATAAAGAAAAAAGTAAAGTCGCACGACGTTTGTAAATATTGTCATATTGTCAATAAGTTTTAAGCCAACTAGTTTATACAATTCGAATTCTAAAATGCAAATTTACTGCGTAAAAAACGAACAACAATTGCGTGTAGATAAATTTAAGTTTAGATATAAATAAGCAACAACTGCAACTGCAACAACAACAACAACAACAACAACTAAAAACAAATTCTAGGCAAATTCAATTATTATGTTCACAATCGAATAAAAAAAAAAAAAAAGAAAAGAATAACAAATAAAACTCGATACAAAACATGATACAATGTTTTGTTTATTCACACACACACACACACACACACACGCATGGCACACAAAGCTAAGTGATATCCTGGCAGCACGTATTACAAATATTTTTGCCATGCCACATCATTTGTGTCCTATGTAAACTCAGTTTCCTTTGGGTCAATGCGACTGTAATTTGACAAGGGCTGCTTCTCATCGCTGCTAGAGCAACATATATCGGAACATAACATATAGCTGCCATAGTTCTATAGTTAGACCAAACAAATCAAATAACAATAATTACCCATTTGCTCATATATGAATTATACAACTGCCAGGGTATTCAGACTTCGGCACGCTCCGAAGTTTCAGTTCTCTCTGATTTATCACAATTTTGAGTTGGTGCAAGGTGCATTGCATTGTTTAAATGGAACTGGTGGGTATTGCAAGTTTTTATTCCTATTGAAATGCATCAACTTATAGAACGATTCCAATTATATACTTAACGAGTTTTCCTTTTGCTTGTTTACTACCTTCAATCAATTTAATTGTTTACGTAGCTACAAATTATTATAGACACATTCCTAGAGTTAATTATGTTATATTTTTTTTTTATACATATATATTTTACTTAGCATAAACTAGAGTAAAATTTCAATTCGATTATTTATTTGGAAACAAGCTAAACTAATATTGAGATTATGTACGATTTGAAGCTTGTGTTTCCATTAGTTAGTTATTTTCCTTAAGTAGATTAATAATTAATTAATTAAATTTAAATAAAGCCATAAARCCAGTTAACAGACAATACAAATAGCTTATTACGTAGCGCAAAAAAAACGAATTTTTTATTACCAAACCAAAAACTTGAAACTTGTAAAAATCGAGAAACATTTACAAAACCAATTTACTAAATAGACACCTTGGATCACATTTTGATTGAAGGCTTGGCACTTGATTCCGAAAACAAAATAGTTGTTTTCTTTTCTTTTCTTTTTTTTTTCGTTTTTATTAAGTGCCTTTTGTATGAGGAGTGAGTCCTGCAGTTAACAAAAAGCTGGCCGCCTTCCCAGTTGGAACCAATTAATAATATACGCAGCTCGAGTTCCCCCTTAAAATTACTTAATAAAAACTATGCACAAACACCAAATAATTACGATCCTAAGATCATAACTGAATTCTACATAGCAACGACATGTACAACAAACCAAACAAACAAACAAAAAAAAAAAAAAAAAAAAAAAACTCCTGACTAAAAAGCAACTAATATTTTGTAGTTCTATCATATTTTTATTCAGCTTGTTTCATTTTCTTTTTTCAACTTCTTTCTAATATTTTGTAATGCTATGCTTTTATCATACTTTCGCCTTTTGTTACTATATACTTAAAAA